CTCTAGCACTGAGCACATCATCTGACTCATATTAAGTGCTTAATAAATGCTTGTTGTCTGGTCTTGATTTAAACTCTAGTTTTGGAATATCAACTTGTCAGTTAAGGTAGAGACTAGAGCCAGTGAATGCAAGCAGGCAGTTGTAATATCTCTTGCTACCTCTAAGGTGGTGACTGTGCATAGAAAGAAAATGATGGATGCAAGAAATGTTCTCTAATTAAATTGATAAATCCAGCAACCTATTGTATGTGGGAGTGGGGTATAAGAAAGAGGGAATAGTTAAAAATGGCTAAATGGTGGTGAATCTAAGTGCTATAGGGAAGTTAAGAAGAGGGAAAGGCTTATTTTTTGCAGGGAGGGAATCATAAGTTTATTTTGGTTGTGCCTAAGTTAAATGACAATTCATTTAAAATAGTTAACTCAATTGTATATCAGTATCAATGAATAAAACTCAATCGTATACCTACAGATAACCTATGTTAACCATGTAAAGTAGCCTACTGAAAATGTTCTTTATATTTAATCAATATCTTGATATCCCATATAATTTATTCCAACTCAATGAAGTTTCTTCTATTTTAAAGGAGTTTCTTTGGTTTGATACTGAAATTAAATGTATAGACCTGGACTTATTAAAAATAATGGATTTGGCTAACAAGCTGCTGACAAGAGAGTTGAAAAATGTAGTTTAGCTAATAGGAAAGTTAGTACCAAGTGGAGAAGGAGGAGAGTTGTTATAGGACAGTGCTTGCCATGGGATATAAAAGAAAAGGAACTTAGCTCTATGTGACTGTGGCAGATCAAAGAGACATAATAAAAATTAAATGTCTTATGAATTAAATACTGTTCATCACTTGTGTTTATTTTGGGTTACACAGCCATATCTTTTGATCAGATTTTTCCCATTTTAAAGTAGAAATAAATTATTTATGATTTGAGTTGGCACAGGTCTTGGTGATAATTTCAAAAGATTAAAAATATGTTCATTAATTTTTAAACAAATTTTTATTTGGATGACTACTCTATAAAACACATGTATTAGAATTGAAGGGGAATAATAAGGTGAATAAGATTTAATAATTGTGTTTAAGGATCTTATACTCTACTAGGGGGAATGAGACATACATGCAAACATAGCACATAGATATAATCCATGTGTAGGATTTTCATCACAATTTCTAATGTTTTAATGATTGCATTCAGAACATTTTGAAAAATATGGCATAATCTAAAAGTCAGGACATTTTAAAGTCATTAAAGCTTAAAACTGCAGTAAGACTTATGAGACACCATGTATTTTGATAAAGGCTTTGAAGTTAGCAGTAAACAGTTTCTATTCTCCTAAGGGATTTAAACTAAAAGCTAACAGCTGATTTACATTATTTTTAAATAGGATCTTCCTTATATTCTTTTGTATATATGATATGTTAGAAAATTCATTGGACTGGGAGTGTGAAGTCTTGAGTTTTACTCACAGCTCATCTACTGATCTACTGTGTGACTTTGGGTAAGTCAGAAAGGAAGGAGAGAAGGAAGGAGGAAAAAAGAAAGAAAAGAGTGAGGGAAGGAGGAAGAAAAAAGAAAGGATGGAGGGAAGGAGAGAAGGTAGTTGTTTGTCCCTCATTCTTGAAGGGGACCTTGACATCAGGAAGGTTATGTCATGACTTGAAAATGAATTGGATTTAAGTGAGGAAGGGCTGTGCAAAGTCATTAGCCTCACTTTCTCCTCCAGAGCCATCTGATTTCAGTGGCAAAATACAGATCAGAATGACTGGAGATGGCCTCCTAAGTTTAGCTAATAGTTACAGAGAAGGAAAATGACAAATTTTGGAGGGGATATGAGAATATTGAGACACTAATGTATTGTTGCTGGAGTTGTGAATGAATTCAAACATTCTGGAGCGCAATTTGGAACTATGCATACCTTTTGACAAAGCAATACCACTATGAGGTCTTTGTCCCAGTGAGATAAAAAAAAATGAAAAGGACTTACGTGTATACAAATATCTATAGCAGCTATTTTAGTGGTGCAAAGAACTGGAAATGGGGAATGGCTGAACAAGTGATGGTATATGATAGTGATGGAGTACTATTGTGGTATATAAAAATGATGAGCAGGAAGCTTTCAGAAAAATCTGGAAAGACTTTTAATCAAGTGAAGCAAAGCAAAGTGAGACCATTGTGGACCCTGTCCTATAATGCTTCTGAGATTTTTAATACAACAACAAAAATCTCTCCTATGAGTAAGAGAAAAGGATCTTATGATTATTGTATCTCTTTGTACTCTGTTCAGCTTTGTAAGCTTTATCCTTTGGGACATCAGTATTCTCATATTCATGGCTAATGAAATGTACACATATATAAGGTCATGTTGGGCTATAGAATGTCAGACAGCATTTTGTGGGTATAGAATTGGGATTTTATTCTTTTGGGGATGGCTATACTTAAAGGAATTATTGAATAAACAATGAGGATTCCATCAATCTACCATATATGGGAGCTGGATGGGCACATGCTGTCAAAGTGTATATTAATTTCCAAACAATTTTAACTTTTAACAAATTTAATGGAAAAAAAAGCCTCTGGAGATATGGGAAGTTGGGTAAGGCTTTATATTCATTTAGTTTAAGTAGAGCTAAAGAGAGGAAGATACACCTATGGCATTATGAGGCTTTAGGGGAATGCTAAGAATTACATGTTATCTAAAATATTCATGAAACCTAGTGATGTAGATTTAGTGGCTCTAACTGAAATTTGTTACTCAATAGAAAAAATAGCTTGGAAAAAATAGTGAGTATTTGCTCTTTAATGTGTTTTAATGTGATCATTTTTTTTAAAAGTGTCATGTCCTTGTTAATTCATTGGTATTCATTGTAATAGCACCAATCATAATGAATTCATTTGGAATTAATGTGGATGTCATACATACTGCCATAAGAATTCCACTATAATTCAACATTAATTTAATGTTCCATTAAAATAAAGTGTTACTGTTTTAAGTCATTTAATAATACCTTCACATAGGGCTGTAAAGATTAAAATGGTCTAGATGCTCTCCAGAGAGGTGGGCTAATCTCAGTAGTGATATTGCTCAGCTACGGCAAGCAGCTTATAAGAGAATTCTCTCAATGAGCTGGCTGCTAAACTTCTTCACTGAGAACGTGTTCTTTCCTTCAGGAGGAGAATGACATCATGGATGAGGATAGAGCTGCACCCAGCTGCCTGCCAGGTATCAGAAAGTCTAGGAATGAAGCTGTTTGAGTTTATGAGATTCTACAGAGTGAAGGAAGGTAACAATATTTACTGTTGATCTCCAACAAACTTAATTGTTTCAATTAAAACAAAAAAAGCAGACAAAGAAAGGATGATTTTGCTCCTATCAGTTTTAAGAAAAATGTTGTCATGTGGGTATTTACTAAAACCCTGAATGTGCATATTTATCGATAGTAGTGCTCTCATTAAGGGTATGATTTTTTTAAACCCAGAATTTCAATGTAGATTCATAAATGTTGGATTCCAAAGGCCAAAAACAGCTTGTGATGAGTGATTGAGTTAGAGAAAAAAATCTAGATACACTGTATTTCAGGGAAAGAAGAATAACTGGGCACCTGAGTCATGAAATTGACAGCTATTCTGCAGGCTTCTGTTATGAATATCTTTGAGGCTGGAGATTGGCCTTAGTGTGGTAGAAAAATGAGAATGAATCAACAATCAGCATAAGATCAGATTATTTGGGAGTTTTCTGGATTCAGTATGATTTGAAAGTTAAAACTCTGGATAGAAGTTCAACTAAATGTCTAAGAATATTGTGAATAAGGTTACTTTATGATAGGATCATATGTTGAGAGCTGAGAGGGATTTTTTTTTTAAATTTTAAGTTCTATTTTTTTTCTTTTTCTAGCCTATCCAGTGACCTAACCACTCATTGAGAAGGCAGACAATGTAATACCAACTACACATGTGAAGTCATGTAAAACATATCTCAATATTAGCCATGTTGAAATGAATTTTAAAAATAAAGTGAAAAATGTACATCAATCTACTCACCACCTCGCTGTGGAGGTGGATAGCATTTTTCATCATAAGTCCTTTGGAAGTGTGGCATATTATTGTACTGATCAGAGTAGCTAAGACACAGTTGATTATCATTACATTACTGCTATTACTGTGTACAATGTTCTCCTACTTCTGTTCATTTCATTTACATCAATTAATATGTCTTTCCATTTTTTTTTTTATGAGACCATCATTCTCATTTCTTAGAGCATCATGATATTCCAACACAAGAATGTATCACAACTTGTTCAGGCATTCCCTAATTGATGGGCATTCCCTTAATATCCAATTCTTTTTCTCAACAAATAAAAAGAGCTGCTATAAGTATTTTCATACATATGGATCCTATTTCTTTTTTTCTGTTTGGGTTACGGACCTAGTAGTACTAAATGTTTTGCATGACTACACATGTGTAATCTATATTAAATTGTTTGCCTTCTCAATGAGGGGGAAGGGGAAAGAGGAAGGTAGGGAGAGAATTTGGAACTCAAGATGCAATAAAAAAGAATGTTAAAATTTACATATAATTAGTGGAAAATAAAAATTAAAAAAAAAGATAGATAGAGGCAGCTAGGTGGCACAGTGGTAGAGCACTGGCCCTGAAGTCAGGAGGCCCTGAGTCCAAATCCAGCCTCAGACACATAACACTTACTAGCTGTGTGACTCTGGGCAAGTCACTTGACCCTAACTGCCTCACCAAAAAAAAAAAGACGACGATCCACCGCCCGTCTTTTCATCCCCTCCCCTTACCTCCTTCTCTGACTCTTCACCATCTCCTCCTCTCCTCTCCTCTGTCCCTTCCCTTCCCTCCCCCCTCCTCCATATCTATCTTTCTCTCCATCCTTTCTCCTTCCTCCCTTCCCTGGCCTTGATGATTCCATGGTAGAGACACCTGAGGAGAGCATGGAGCCTGCTAAGATGGAATCACGGGGCTGAGGCAGTACATGTTCTCCAAAATGGCCATGTACCTGACAGGTGAGCTGACAGCCACCAGTAAAGACTATAAACTTCTGGAAAATATGAACAAACTAACTAGCTTGAAGTATCTAGAAATGAAAGATATAGCAGTACCCAGAAGTAGAAACTCAAAAGCCTTAAAGCAGAAACATGCAGCACTTCAGCCTTATCTGGATCAGATCACTTCAATTGAGGAGCAAGTAGCAGCTCTGGAGCAGGCAGCCTGCAAGTTGGATGCACATTCAAAGAAACTAGAAGCAAAGTACAAGCAGTTAGAGAGGCGATGAAAGAATTCTCTAGCACAAAGACTTTAACTACAACAATGTATCATAAGAGCTGAAATAAGTGGACTGGAACTTCCCTCATGCTTCAGTTCCTAAAAGTAAGTGATGCTGCTGATTCAAGGAGAATCCCAGCCACTACCCATGGTTGGATGTGTAACTTTGGCCACCCCTTGATGTTTCCTAAAATTGTAGCCCCTGGAAGCTCATCTTATTGTGTGCTTCGTTGTATGCTCTGGACCAAGGCTCAGAAATCAGGATTAACCCCATCTCGCCATATCCAGCAGGCACAGAGGAGAGGCTGTCCTCCCCTTGTCTCTTCCCTTCTTCCCTCTCCCCTAGGGCTCCACTTTGGACTTTCTGTTCTGAATGTGCTCCCCACTCACTTCATAACCTGTTCTTCAACTTAAATAATAAATCCTGACATATTACCCTCAAAAATTTAAAATAAAATAAATTACCACGCTTTATAAAGTCTAAATCATGTACCTATTTTGACCTGATCATGGCATACAATGTAAAATGTTAATCAATGACTAGTTTCTGCCAGAGTACTTTCCCGTTTTCCAAGCAGCTTTTTATCAAATAGTGAGTTCTTGCTGTGAAAGCTTGGATATTTGAGTTTCTCAAACAATAGATTACTGAGTTCATTTACTTCCATTTGTGTACCTAATATATTCCACTGTTCAATGTCTCTGATTCTTATCTAGTACTAGATCATTATCTTGATTACTGCTTTTTAGTAGTATCAAATCTGGCATTCCTAGACTGAGAGGGATATTAAAGTTCATCTAGTACATTTTCCTCATTTTACAGATGAAAAAATGAAACCTAGAAATATTACATATTGACAAAAGGCACATTATAGATATAAAAATAATAAAGGAGGATCTGAAGGAGAACTTAATAGCCAATACTCCAACCCTCTCATTTAATAGATTTAACATTTAACTGAGGTACTTATAGGTCAAATGACTGTTCCAGGGTCTCCCAGATATTAAGTATCTAAGGCAAGACTGGAAACCATGTTTTCATTACTCCAATTCCCATACTTTATATATCATACTGTCTCAGAAAGTATGTGGATTTGAACTCATGTCCTTAAATAAAAAGGGAATTAGCAGTTTGGGAGACACAGACATACTAAAAAAAAATAAATAACTCTTTAAAAATCAGGATTGTCCAAATGGTAAAAGAAGCACAAAACTGTACTGAAGAAAACTCCTTAAAATTAGAACAGCATAAATGGAATCTGTTGATTCAATGAGACATCAAGAAACAGTATGACAAAAGACACATAATGGAAAATAGAAGAAAATGGGAAATATCACATAGGAAAAAAATATCTAACCTGGAAAATAAATCAAAGAGAAATAATTTGAGTTATTAAACTATAAGAAAATGATGAAAAAAGAGCATAAACATAACTTTTCAAGAAATTATAAAGAAAACTCCGCCCAGATATCACAGAAACTGAGGGCAAAGAACATTAAAAAAAAAAAAAATCCAAGCACCATTTCCTGAAATAAATCCCCAAAAGAAAACTCCCAGGAATATTATAGCCAATATCAAGAACTCCCATATCAAGGATAAAATAATCCAAATAGCCAGTGAGTAAAAAAAAATCATGGAGTCCCACCTCAGGTTCACAAAAGATTTAACAGCCAACACTTTAAGGATTGAAAGGAATATTGCCCAGGTCAACCTAACAGGAACAGGGATACTTAAATAATCTTATTTTATGAAAAGAATTTGAACAAGCCATAAATGAATTCTTTTATATTTTAAGATTCATTAATTTATTTATTTTTAATTTTCAACATTCACTTCCACAAGATTTTGAGTTCCAAATTTTCTCCCCATCTCATCCATCCCCCAACCCCAAGGGAGCATGCATTCTGAATATCCTTTCCCCTAATCTGCCCTCCCTTCTATCGGCCCCCACTTCTCTTATCCCCTTTCTCTTCTATTTTCCTGTAGGACAGGATAGATTTCTATATACCATTGCCTGCATATCTTATTTCCCAGTTGCATGTGGAAACAATTTTTTAACATTTGTTTTTAAAACTTCAGATTCCAAATTTTCTCCCTTCCTCTCTCCCCACCCACCCTCATTAAGAAGGTGAGCAACTCAATACAGGGTTATATTTATGTAGTCACGCAAAACATTTCCATAGTAGTCGTGCTGCGGAAAACTAACTATATTTCCCTTCATCCTATGCCGCTTCCCCCCGCCCTGTTTATTCTATTCTCTTTTGACCCAGTCCCTCCACAGAAGTGTTTGCTTCTGATTACATTCTTCCCTAATCCACCATTCCCTCTATCATCCCCATCTACCTCTCCCTTTCTCCCTGGAGGGAAAAAAATATATGTGAATAGATACATTGATAGATAGAGGGCACAGGGTGAGCTGAAGATGAATAGATAATATCTGGAGAATAAAATTAAGGGATGAGAGATGATTATACTGGGAGAAGAAGAAAGGGAGAGGTAGAATGGGGCAAATTATCTCACATGAAACAGACAAGAAAAAGCTTTTACAGTGGTGGGGAAATGGGGGAAGGTGAGAGTGGATGAATGAATCTTATTCTCATCTGATTTGGTTTAAGGAGGGAATAACATACACACTTAATTGAGTATGGAAATCTATCTTACTCTATAGGAAAATAGGGCAGACAGGGATAACATAGCTGGGGATGATAGAGGGCTGCAATATTCCTAGGTGTTTTCCTTTCAGGAGGTGATTGGTGGATTCTTTCAATTTCTATTTTACCCTCAGGTTCTAGAATATCAGGGCAGTTTTCCTTGACAATTTCTTGAAAGATGACTTTTAGGTTGTTTTTTTTTTTATTATGGCTTTCTGGTAGTCCAATAATTTTTAAATTATCTCTCCTGCATCTATTTTCCAAGTCAGTTGTTTTTCCAATGAGATATTTCACATTATTTTCTATTTTTTCATTCTCTTGGTTTTGTTTTACAATGTCTTGATTTCTCATAAAGTCCCTAGCTTCCAATTCCTCTATTCTAATTTTTAAGGAAGTATTTTGTTCAGTTAGTTTTTGGACTTCCTTTTCCATTTGGCCAATTATGTTTTTGAAGGCATTCTCCTCCTCATTGACTTTGTGGACCTCTTTTGCCATTTGGGTTAGGATATTTTTAAGGTGTTATTTTTTAGTATTTTGGGGGTCTCCTTTAGCAAACTATTGGCTTGTTTTTCATTATTTTTTTGCATCTCTCTCATTTCTCTTCCCAGTTTTTCCTCTACTTCTCTTATTTGCTTCTCAAAATCCTTTTTGAGCTCTTCCATGACCTGAATCTGATTCATATTTTTCTTGGAGCCTTTGAATATAGGAACTTTGACTTTGTTATCTTCTTCTGGTTGTGTGTTTTGATTTTCTTTGTCACCAAAGAAAGATGCTATGGTCTGACTTTTTTTTTGCAGTTTGCTCATGATCCCAGCCAATTACTTGCATTTTAAACTCTTTGTTAAGGTAGGGACCTGTAAATTTTTAGTTTTTCTAAGGTGGTATGATTAAGGGTGAAGTGTTTACTCCTTTCCTCTCCTGTGCTCTGGTTTGAGTGACCACAAACATTCTTTCCTGCCTTGGAAATGTGAGGAGGATTCCATCTGCACTGCCACTTCAAGCTGCCCCACGCCAACACTTCTCTTTGCTCCAGGATCACCATGCAGAACCCAGACAAAGCAAGAGAAACCTGCCTCAGCACCATCCAAGAAATTCCTGCAATCCCTCTCTGACCAGTCACTTGATTTCCTCTCAGTCTGTGGGTCAGCAGCTCTGGAAACAACCCTCTTCTCAGGGCTGCTCCAGGAGTGGGCTTGGGACTGAGCTTCTTTTTCACTGTAGTCACAGACCTTTCATACTGACCTCCTCAGTTGTGTTTGGAATTTGCGGGTTGTGAAATCTGATGCTACAGCTGCCCATGATTCAGTCCTCTGAGGCCTGCTCCAGGTTAGCTGAGGTCTGATCTTTCATTGTGTGGCCCATGGTGAACTGCATTTCTCTCCCAGCTCAGTGCAATAGACCTTTCCAATCAACTATCCAGGTTGTCTTGGGCTGGAAATTTGTGTCACTCTGTCTTTTTGTGGGTTCTTCTGCTCTAGAATTTGTTTAGGGCTATTTTTGCAGGTATTTGGAGGGGTTTAGGGGAGAACTCAAGCAAGTCAATGCTTTTATTCAGCCATCTTGGCTCCACCCCCACAAATGAACTCTTAAATAACAAAACAAAACAAAACTCAATATTAGATAGATATACAAGTAAATTCCATTAAACACTGAAAGAACAATTAATTCCAATATCACATGAACTGCTTGAAATAAATTTGGTACAGAAAAATTCTACCAAATTCCTTCTATGACACTAATAATGTTTTGATGCTAAAACCAGTTAAAGCAAGAGCAGAGAAATAAAACTATAGACCAATGTCACTAATATTGATGAATATTAATGAAAAAATAAATAAAATACTAGCAAAAGCATTACAATGACTTATCAGAAAATCATGCACTAGGACTAGCAGGGATATACACCAGGAATTAAGGACCAGTTCAATATTAGCAAAACTACAAACATAATTGACCATAATGATAATGAAAATGACAAAAGTCATGTGATTATGTCAATAATTACACAAGAAGCTTTTGACAATACACTCCTACCTAAAAATACCAGAAATGATAGAAATAAATGTTGATTTTTCTTAAAATGAAAAGTATCATTTATCTAAAAGCATGAACAAACAATATTTTTACTAGATAAACTAGAAGTCTTTCCAATACAATCAGAGGTGAAATAAGGATGTCCATCACTACTATTATAATTTTATATTCTGCTAGAAATGCTAGCACTTCCAATTAGATAAGAAAAATTAATTAAAGGACATAAACTCAGGCACTGAGGAAAAAAAATTATTGCAATTTGCAGATCATATGATGGTTTATTAAGAGAACCCTGAAGAGTCAACTAAAAAAAAAAAAGCTAATTGA